TAGTTTACAATCGAATGAGACGCTTCATTCGAGAGGTCGCGAAGTTTTGCCATATCACGACGATAGGCAACCGCAACAGCAAACGACGACGATACGAAGATTACAGCAGCAAGCAATGTCATGAAGAGCATAAAGTATGAACCTACAAAGCTCAAGTTTGGGAAGAGGCACTGCAAAGTTTAGAACTTGGGAGTTTATTATCAAATTAGGCCTCACCAAGCTGAAAAAGACAGAAAAAGGTGGCAGTAAGCAGTAACGAGCCTCCATTTGCTAGATATGAAATCCATGGACGCTTAGTGCTCTCATAATCGCCGACATAATGTGAAGCAAACAATCTCTCCAATGTGATTGCTGGTATAATCATTGGTAAGCAGCACAAAAATAAGAATCTTATGCAGAAAAGGATAGCTAACAAATATTTGGATGAGTCTGAAAACGAGCATTGTGTAGATTTCCACACGCCTACCATTTCTAGCTCACTTTACAAAGTGAAAACAAATTCTTCTTTAACCCGATTGCAACGTTTGGGAGATCTGACTATTCAATATGACATAGTTTTGTCTTGCTAAATTTTGCAACGTTTATAGGTTATCAAACAACTAATGGAGGTCTTCCTTCAATAGTTGTTTGAGAATTTGTATACGTTAAAAAAATTAGCAAAGGTTTTACAGCCAAGGATAAGTCAGTAGCAGGCGATATAGATATTTCATGTAGGATTACAGCTTACCTGTTTCTTTTACCAATCCTGTATCATAGAAGAAAATCAGAATTCGTGATATCTGCGATATGGTGACAGAGATCAGATGTGACTGGAAGAAAAACTTAATCGTAGATGCAAAAGCTGGTTCCATATATTACCTATGAGTATAGCAATGCACTCATCTATACAAGCGAAGACTTAGCCTTTTTACTTTGCCTCTATGGATGATTTGTGACCTCCTAATATGCTTCCGATTATATGCAATTCTTAGCATATTATTTGAAAAATTTCGTGTATTCTAGCGTTCGCTTAAAAAAGGATCCTAATTTTAAAAAGTCATTGCTTGAATGTAGATGGAAACTATACATTTTTCCTACTAGGAAGTTTGCAGCATTGACAATTCAAAGGGTGTTGTCTTTGTAATTGCTGGATTTCTCTAGCCAAATGACATAAATCTTTATGGCAGCACAAAATATAACAAAGGCATCCCAGCAAATAGCCGCAGCAAGAGTGAAGGTTTAGATTACCTGAGCAATTTGAATCAGATTTCTGTGAAAAAAGCGAGAAGACCTTCCCAGTGCAATAATTAGTAGTACATTTGCAGGGACTATAGTGAGAATAGAAAGTAGTTCCACTGTATATAATGATATAAAAATTGCATATAGAGAATTTAATGCTTCTCTGCTGGGAAATACAGCTGGAACAAAAACTGATAACCCATTCGCGAACAAGAACTGCATGATCACTACCTTAATTTGAAGCTGTGCATAACATGTCATTCAACACACAAAAGCACCTGACTGTCTCCGCAAAATCACATAAACAGCCTTACGCTATATACATGGAATTGTACCCGCTCCCAACGGCTGATTACACGAATACTGGCACATCGTTATGCAAAGCGTGAATGTGAACTGATCCTTATATAATAAAGCGCAGGGCCCCCCCTGTGACTCATCGTGTCGGTTTGTCGCCGATGACGTAAAC